GCAATTTAAGCTTACACAAGTGGAAATAGAGACACCAAAAATCTGGGTGAGCAGGCAGGAGAGTGAAACTTTCACAGTCTTCCTCTTCATGCTCCTTTTTATCAGGGAGAAAGACACTCAGCACTGGTGTTTCTTTCCAGAACAGGAACACAGGGCCATAATTAAGCTTCAAGGAAGGTTGGCAAGATAGCATTTGATGTCTCTAGGCACTTTACTGCCATTGGGGTAAAGGGAAAGGAAACAGCTTCTGATCACCTGCATACCACTGGGCTCTACTTCAACTGAAAAGACACAACCTTGAAACTGCATTTTCAAGATACACCAATCTAAGTTCATAAACTGTTGTGCAAACAGCCCTCCAAAAAAAATGCCCACCAAGTGGGCCAGCAGGTGGCATGGAAGTTAAGGTAGTTGGATTCACATAGCTGATTCTGCAGTTCAAGTCCCAGACCCGGTGGCTTTAAAATCATGCCAGATGAATGTACATCTGTGCCCAAAATCCCGAGAGGAAAACAGAGGAGAAGGGATTGTGGTGTGGCCATCCCCCTTGGAGGAGTGATTTCTCACTCACCCTCTCTCTCTCTCTCTCTCTGTCTCTCTTCGGTGAGCACACATGCCCTATCTCACACACACACATGCCCAACAAGCGAATTTCAGAATGGATCCTGAGTTTCCTACGTAAAAGGACAGGTACAGCAATAGCTATCTGGGAACCTGAGTTACTTTGAGTGTTCCAGCAATGGGTTGGCCACTCTCTGGGGCCTTATGGACTCTGGACTGACTTAATACACACCAGAATTACCTAGGGAGCTATAAAAAAAAATGCTGATGCTTGGGTGCCACCCCCAGAGATTTTTTAGTTTACTCTATTGAAATAAAGCTTGAGCATCACATTCCAGACCAAGTAGATCAGAATCTCTGGGACAAGGACCAGACCTCAGTAGTTTGTTCATCTTCTCAGGTGATTGAATTTACAACCAAGGCTAAGAACCACTGGTTTGGAACTCTTGCAGGTATGCTCTATGAAGGTGAAATGTCAGTCTGAAGAAAGCGCTCATTTAAGAGGCAAATAGAGGAGGGGCCTTGGTGGATTCAGAGCAGCAAATTGTATCAGGCAAATAGAGTAAGGGCCTTGGTGGATTCAGAGCAGCAAATTGTATTTTCAGAATTACAAATTTTAAAAAATGATTCAAAAAAATCACATAGTATAATCAAATGAGATAGAGACTGACCATGGGAAAAGTCACTTGGGCGTGGTGGCGCCCACCCTATGGAAAAGTCACTTAAGAGGCCAATATTCTCCCTTGTCAAAGCCCACTCTGTGTAAAGAAACTAAAGTGGATCTAGTCTCTGTTAGCAGATATACATGCTGCAAGTGGTGGGGGATGTCAAAAGTTTGGCTATGATTTCCCATTTAACAACTGTCTTTGAATCAGAGACTCAGAAGACCTATCTAATACAAATTCCTTAGGGACATTGAGTAGAAAAATGTAGAGAATACAAATGTTCAAAAGTAGAGGAGAGAAGCAAGATTCAAGAGCTGGAGGAGTGGTTAGAATAAAGAAGAAAGGGCACCAGCAGAAGGTGGCATGGTTTTGTCACTGGACTCCCACATAGTCAACCATGGTTCAAGTCCTAGACCTGTTGGCTTAAAAACTCACACCAGGTGCATGTGCGTGCACGCCCAAGATCCCAAGAGGAAAAAGGAGGAGAAGGGATTGTGGAGTGGCCATCCCTCTGGAGGGTGATTTCTTGCTTTCTATCTCTCTGTGTCTTTGGTGAGCACACACACCCTGTAGCAAAAATCTCTCTTAAAAAGAAAAGAAAAAAGAACAAAGAAGAAAAGACTGAAATAAAAGTCATGGTGGTGGAACTGAGGTATATCTTGGGACTGAGATACATGTCATGGACAGCATCAGGATCTCTTGATTTTTCCATGTTTTTGTGAAATAGAATGTGGGCCTGGATGAAGGGCCTGAGGTCAGGATGGAAACTAAACCAAAAGGCTGTTAATCATCAAAATCTGAATTACATATATTATACTGGAAAAATTACAGCTGACATCTCACAATATCACCTGCTGGCTAATTCCCAGCAAATGAGGAAATTCCATCTGTTAGAATCTTCCATCCTAATCAGTTGAAGTTATTCTGTACCTAGAGAGTCAAAGATTTGATAAAGATAATCTATTATTAACCCATGTTAAAAATGCTCCAGTGAACATAGCTTTACTACCCTACAGTGTTTCCTGTTTCAAAAGATGACTGTTGTGAGTTGAAGTCCACCCCACAAAAAGATATGTTAAAGTCTTAGCCCTCAGTACTTGAAAAGGTGACCTTATTTGGAGATAGAGTATTTACAGAGGCAATCATGTTAAAATGAGGTCCAATTTGACTACTCCTATCCAATATAACTAGTGTCCTTGCAAAATGGGAAGGTTTGCACTCCTGTTTGTAGAGAGAACATCATGTGAAGATGAAGGCAAAGAGGAGGGTGATGCATCCACAAACTAGGAGGTACCAAAGATTGCCAGCAAACCATGAGAAACTAGGAGAGGCAAGGGATGATTCTCCCTCACTGTTCTCAGAAGGAGCTAGCCTTGCTCCTTCTTGATCTCAGACTGCTAGTCTCCAGTGCTGTGGGACAATAATTTTCTGTTGTTTAAGCCCCCTAGTTTGTGGTACTTTGTTATAACAGCCTTAGCAAACTCATATAATATGCTGTAAGAGAAGACGATATAGGCAGAATCAAAACCTGGGAAAAATACAAAGAACGCAAGCAACTCAATAGCAAGAAAACAATCCAGTTAAAATACAGCAAGAGACCTGAATAGACATTTTAAAAAATGCAAATGACCAACAGATATATTTGAATGTTCAACATCACTAATCATCAAGAAAATGCAAATGATCACCTCACACCTGTTAGGATGACTATTAACAAAAAAGGTCAAAGGTACTTACAGAAAAAGATGTGGCAAAAAGTAAATTCTGGATATCATTGGTAGAAATGTAAATTAATACAAGCAGATCATTCCTAGTCCAAACATCTGAAAGCAGAAATGCTCCAGGATCCAAAACTTTTTGAGAGCTGACATGATGGCACAAGTGCAAAATTCCACACCTGACCTCATGTGATGGGCCAGAGGCAAAACACTAAAATAAGGAAATACTATATAATACTACCTTCAGGCTATGTTTATAAGGTGTATATGAAACATAAATGAATTTTATGTTTAGACTAGGTCCTCTCCCCAAGACATCTCCCCAAGACATCTCATTGGGTATATGAGAATATTCCAAAATCCCAAAAAATCCAAAATGGCAAACACTTCTGGTTCCAAGCATTTCAGATAAGGAATACTCAATCTGTACAGCCAGCATAAAAAAAAAAACCAACAAAAAAAAACCATAAAGATTCCTCAAAACAAAATTGAAAATAGAACTAACACTTAATCCAGCAATCCCACTACTAGGTTTCATCTCCCTTTATTATGCAAAGAGAAAAAGAAGGAGCACTACCAACAGGGTCCCAACACTACCATCCAAGCCCAGTCTCAGCCAGTCCCAGATTATGCTTGAGCTGGTTTGCCTGGTATACTCAGGGAGATCGCTGGACGTGAACCCAGAAGCCCGCAAGTGGGTCAGCCTCACAGAGTGTTATGTTTTACTCTTGCACCATCATGCAGCCCCCATAGTTCTTCTTTAAAAATGTTCTAAGCAAATATTTTGTTTATTTGCTCAAGACTGATTTTCTATCAAACTTGATTTATTATATTAGAAATAAGGCTTTTACAAAGTACTTTCTCAGGCTAGCCAGTGGTCTGGCAGTTAAGATAGCTAGATCCACATGGCCAACTCTGCAGTTTAAGTACCAGACCCAGTGGCTTGAAAAACACATGGGGAACCAGTGTGTGGGTGCCCAAAATCCTGAGAGAATGGAGAAAGGATTGTGGTGTGGCCATCTTCCCTAAGAAGCTTTTCTAACTTTCTCCCCCAACACCAGGTGAGGGCACATAAATTTAAAAAACAAACAAAAACTTTCCAATTGATTCCCTGTCCTTCTAATTGATTTTTATTTCCTTTAAATATCCAAAGGAAATGAAACCAGTATGAGTATGTCAAAGAGATGCCAGCACTCTTGTGGTCATTGCCATGGTATCCACTATAGCCAAGATACAGAAACAACCTAACTGTCCTTCAATGGATTCAAGGATAAAGTATGGTACATACACAATGAAACACTAGTCAGTCTTTAAAAATTAAGGAAATTCTATTATTTGCAACAACATGGATGAACTGGAAGACATTATGTTAAGCCAGGGAGGGACAGAAAGACAAATACTGCATGATCTCACTTCTATTGTAAAATCGAGAAAAGATGAACTCATGGAGGCAGACAAAAGAAAGAGAGTTACCATACACTGTTGCAGGGGAGGTGGGGAATGAGAGGTATTGGTTGAAGAATACAAAATTTCAAATAGATAGGAGCAATAAGTTCAAAAGATCTGTGGTACAACATGAAGGCTCTAGTTCTAACAATGTATTATAAACTTAAAATTTGCTAAAAGGGTAGATTTTAAGTGTTCTCACCACAAAATGATAAGTATATGAGGTAATGTATATGTTAACTAGCTTGATTAAGCCATTTCACAATGCAGGCTTGTTTGCTTGCTTGCTTATTTATTTATTTATTTATTTATTTATTTATTTATTTATTAGGTTTTTGCCATAGGGCACATGTGCTTACCAGAGAGAGACAGTGATAAATCACCCCCCAGAAGGGATGGCCACGCCACAATCCCTTCTCCACTATTCTCCTCCTGAGATTTTGGGCACACATACACATGTGCCTAGCATGATTTTCAAGTTGCCAGGTCCAGGACTGGAACCATTCCCATATGGTCAGCCATATGGGAATCCAGCACCTTAACCACTATGCTGCCTGCTGGCCTTGCACATATATTTTAAAACATTTTTTAAAACTGGGAGAACTTAGCCAGCTTTGCGCAGTGGCAGTATCGTAGCCAATGAGGTTTATCCGAGGCGCGATTATTGCTAATTGAAAACTAGGAGAACTTCATTTGTTGTAAAATTAAGACAATGTTATTAAGGAAAAAGGTAATGGTTAATTGAAAATATGTTTTTTTGAGGAAGAGTATCAGAGAGTGATTTTTAAGTTTTATTGAAAAAATAAAACAAGTTTGAATAGACAGAAATTCCAATCTTGAACCAGTAAAAAAATAAACAAAATTATTGCTTAGAACATTTTAAAAGAACTATGGGGGCCAGATTGTGGTGCAAAGGTCAAATGCAATACTCTGTGAGGGTAAACTGCAATATTCTAAATACCCACATGGGAGGTTCAAGTTCATCCAGAGACCCCTGCGTTATGCCAAGCATGCATGGGCCCATGATCAGAGGCTGGCTGAGACTGGGAGTGGATCACAACCTTGGGCCCCTATTGGCAATACTTGTTATCTCTCTCTCTCTCTAGCTCTGTCTCTCTCTGTCTCTCTGTCTCTCTGTCTCTCTGTCTCTCTCTCTGTCTTTCTCTCTTTCTCCCATTCTTGGAATAAATAAATAAGCTTAAAAAAAAAGAACTATGATGGAATGAGATCCCTAAGAAACACAGGAAACAGTCCTTTCTCATTAGAAACGCAGAGCAGTTTTACCCTTGAGGCAATTTACCATTACATTTACTAAAGCAGATAATAGCTTCCAAAAAGCCAAGGGGGAGGGAAGAGAGGGAGTTGGAGCAAGGAGGAAGGAGCCAAATGGATGAATAAGGAAAGGAAGAAGAACAGAATATCAACATGTATTGCACAACTAGTTCTTGAAAAATGTGTCAGCAAGTACCAGGCCAGCTTCAACTGGCAAATAACTGGCCAAGCTTCTATGGGTAAGGAAGGCAATGATACCAAGTCCAGTGTGAATATCAAACTGGATTTAACTATTTCTGAAAGACTTTCCAAGAGCATTCTATTAGCTGTATTCAAAGGCAACTAAAAATGTTAAAAATTACAGAAAATAATCTAAATGCAACAGCCTAAATGTAATCACCTAGAAGTTGCTTTTTAAAATTATCCTGTTAGGGATCAGCAGATTGTATAATGGTGATGTTGCTGGACTCCCACATAGTTGACCGTTTTTCAGATCCCAGACCTGGTGACTTAAAACTCACACCAGACATGTGTGTGCACATGCTCAAAATCCCATGAAGAGAATGGAGGAAAAGGGATTGCAGCGTAACCATCCTTCCTGAGGGGTGATTTCTTGCTTTCTGTCTCTATGTCTCTCTGGTAAGCACACTCACCCTACAGCAAAAATCTCTCTCAAAAAAAAAAATCCTGTTCAATCTTTTGAAGATAGTAGTTAATTTTTTTTATAGAGAACCTGCATTTCACAAAACAACAACAACAAAATCACTCTTTGACTTTTACAGGCCTGTTGATGGTTGGTCCTTGGAATGATAGTATGAATAATACAAAACCAAGCCTGATTCCACCACCTTTGAGAGTGGAGATACAAATGCTTTCATATAATCTCTCCCTCCCATACATAGTGGCCAGGGGAGGTCTTTCTGAGAAGGGGACATTGGAGTAGAGATTTTGGAAAGAAAAGAAGTGAGCCACAATAATATTTGGGGTGAAAGCATTCTGGACATAGAGAAGAGCATGTACAGAGACCCTGAGATGGGAACAATGTGTATAGGTGTTTCAAGAAAAGCAAAGAAAATATAATGTCTAGGGAGGAATAAGAGAAAAGATCGGAGAAAGATCAGTGTAAATAGGTCAAGGCTAGAAATGTGGTGCTATGCCGATGAAACAGAAGTCCACTGGAGGGTGTTGAACAAGACCAGTAGCATACTCTGTACTAGGTTTTAAGAGCAAAATTCTAACTGCTCACTCTGCCCTTAATGGCCTTTTTGTCATCCCTGCTGTATGCCAAACACTAGGCACACAAGAATAAGATATAGTCACTGGCTTATTATTATCTCATATACTTATCATTAAGCTCACTAACACCAGTAGCACCATCAATACCATCAATATTATCAACATCACCACCACTGTGAGCACCATTATCATCACCGTCATCAGAAACACCATGATCATTATCATTATCCCACCACCATTCACATGACAACTGCCACCACTATTACCGCCAACATCATCACTATCATCACATTCTCAAAATTCTGTTACTTACTATACCAATAGTGCTCAGTACACTTTTCTGAGTAGCAGGACAAGATCCAGCACCTTTTTCTTTCTAGGAGAGAAGGGTGCATGGGGTCAGAGTTAAGGATACATCTGCCTTTTGTACACAGGATGGCAAACTGGCCCAGGCATGTGGCCTGGCCTCTTGAGTCTTCTTTGTCATTCAGACTTTGCAAGTGCTGGTTGCTGCACAAAAGGCTGGTCAGCCAACATCCACATCGAAACAGACCTTTTTTTTTTTTTTTTTTTTTTTGCAATAACAGTTTCTTTTGAAAAGACCAACCCCCAGAACTTACACTTTCTTGCTTTGGGTCTCCCTTGAAGGTGGGGTTCTTTGAGCACTAAAGAAAAAGAGTTCCTTCAGGACAGGAGATAAGTTAGTTAGGATAACTAATTGTAGTATACTGTGCTATGGTATGTTCTAAGGTTGCCCTTATTTTTAGGAATTTAATTTCAGAACCTCAATTTCTCCTCCAAAAATAGAAATGACTCTGCCGTCAGAGCCTTTGGTGCTTCTAGAATGTCCTATTTCTTGCTTCCTATATTATAACAAAATTTTCTATTCATGTGACTGTCTCCTTACTAGGTCCTGAAATTTCCAAGGACTGAGACAGGGTCTATCCATGTCTGTACATCAATAACTTGCTTAGGATCTGGCATGTAGTAGGTGCTCACTAAATCTTAGTTAAAATAAGTTATTTTTTCTTGCTTTTCTTCCACAACAACAATCATTTTGTACCCTCAAACATTGCTATTGTGTAGTACGAAGATATTGTAATAAAAAGGAAATATAAAGTTACGGGAAACCAAGCTTTGGTAATAGAAAATTGAGGAGGAAGAAGAGGAGGAGTAGGAAAAAGAGACTTTGTTTTGCTCCTTCCAAGAAGGCAATACTTGTTATTCACTTGACAGTTTCCTCTATAAATCCTACTGCCCATGTAAAGGTCCTTTCTGGAAGCAGATCAAAGTTTTGAAAATACCCTACCAGAGACAGCATGACAGCTATGAATAGAATGTAGCATGAATGCTAGATTGCTCATGATGAGAAAGATAGCAACTCCCATGCAGCAACAGAAATAAAATACTAAGAGCTCACAGGGTCACAAAAGATACCAACAGGCTCCATGTTTTACCCCTATAGGCACAACAATCCCTTGGATTTAAATAGTTTCTTTTTTGTTTTACTTAAAGGAAAAGAAATGTGGAAAAAGACACAAATTAAAAGTTTCAAGGATGAAATGAATAGAGACATTAAAGGAGGCAAAGCATGAAGAACATGAATTCAGGAATAATCCCCTTAAAGACAGAAAGGACATTGCCTTCTTCTGAAGGTGAGCCTTGTGATTCATCTCAGAATTTCTTTTTTTTGTTTTTTTTTTGAGAGGTTTTCATTATAGGGCGTGTGCGCTCGCCAGACAGAGAGAGACATAGAGACAGAAAGCGAGAAATCACCCCCCAGAGGGGATGGTCACGCCGCAATCCCTTCTCCTCCATTCTCCTCTTGGGATCTTGGGCACGCACACACACGAGCCCGACGTGAGTTTTAAGCCACCGGGTCCAGGACGCGAACCGCGGTCGACCATGTGGGAGTCCAGCGACATAGCCATTACACTAACTGCTGGTTCCCCATCTCAGAATTTCTTATCACAGAAAATCCTATAAGCACAAGGAACTTCATCCAAAAACCTTTCCCACAATAGGTACCATCGAGTCATCATTAAGCTGAAAAAACTTGTAGGTACCCCAATATAAAGTGAGGATTTGAGATAAAATCACAAGAAAGGAAGTATTCAATGTACAATCTGCTAATCAAACCCAGGCTTGCTTCTGAACAGATCTTAATTTTCAAGTTATACTTAAAGCAAATGTGGCCTCTAATGACTTGTATGGATAAGAAATAACCCAGACCTGGAGTGGCCTCTCTAAATCATTCTAGACAGAAATGGCACATAGACCCACCACAATGCATGCTCAAATCACCACGTTAAAGAAAGCTGTAATGGGACCATCTCCAGGAATTACTGGGATGGAGCTACCATTCACAAGCCCATATGCATCACATTATTTGCTGCCAAAATTAAAATCCAAGCAATACACCTGGGGAATGACAGAGCCTGATCATTATGACACTTTAGAGGGGCCCACAGCATGACCTCAAGGCATTATTTATCATTGGTGTTTGCTTACTTTCCCCCCAAAGTCTGTGTTTTATCCATAACATCTGGCCTTCATCGTTGAGTGGAAAGCTTAGGAGAGCCCTCGTGCTGAGTGAGGCAATGGAAACGGAAAATGATGTCAGAGAATTGTCAACAGGCATTTGGACATTGCCGAATGTCATGTTCTTTTCCAAGGAACATTCGGGATGCAAATAAAAATCAAATAACACTTCTTCTTGGCAAAGGAATGGGCTTAATTTGCTTTTGTTTTCTTCTCTCCTGGTTTTAACTTGAACTGGGCTTTGCAGGGTCATGAAGACTTTATCAGCTCTGGTTACTCTCCTACGAAAAATGGCTTTTGCTAGAGTTTGAAATGAGAAGTGTTATTCAGTTTCATGCAGAATTTTGAAATGAAGTCATGTAAATTTCCTCTACCTCAGATTAACTGCTTGAGGGATTTACTGGGGCCTGCCGTTCTGCTTGTCAACTTGCTTGCTCTGTTCACAGCTGTTTTTCAGCAGAAGCACCAGATTCACACCTCTCTTTCCTTTGCAGAGATCAGAGATGACACCAGTTCCTCCAGAACCTTAGTCCTCCTGTTTCAGCAATCGCTAGTCCATTGTTCTCTGGTGGCCACTGGTGGTACAGAAGAGGGAGGCAAAGCTCCTTGTACCTCTTCCATCCTCCCTGTTCTTGGTGCTTCTTGACTAGGCCCCTGTCCACCACCACCTAATCTGTTGCCTCAGACTTTTTAAAGTGGTTTAAGGC